TAGTCATCTGTCACTACATATGTGTTGCCACAATATGTGTTTTTCTGACTAATTTTCTGCTTTTTGTTAAAGGCCTTTTTGCAATTTTTCTGGCCAGGTGCGACCTTGCTCTGCCTTCCTTTGCTCATCACAAATGTATCCTCTTCGTTCTTTGATGCATCGTTTCCACATTTTGGATTAGTGTTTGCTTCATCTCTATTTCTCCAGTCCCCCTTCATTCTAATTTATTTCCTGGCAGGCTTCATATACCCAGCCACAGTTAGAATTCCTGTGCCAGGCAATTTTCAAAGACTTCACTATGTTGGAATGGGGCCCCAGTCTCGCCCAGGACAGAGGGACCTTTGTGCCTGCTGCCCAACATCCCAGTCAGCCCTTATAGCAGGGGAAGATTAGGGAACAGGACGAACCAATGGGCTAAATGGTAGGGTGCCTGACTGAGAGCCAATAGTGTCAGCCAAACAGACCCTTAGCCCCCTTCAAGTACGCAGTAATTACAAGCTTGTAGGGCAATCCTTCGGCTCTTTTGTCTCATTTGGAAACACTTGCCCAGTCTACTGGGAAACTTCATTCCATCTCTGTTTGGAGACCCAGTACGAAGAGTCTTTCAACTCCAGCATGTGGTCCTTTTCTCTCGAGGACAACAGCGAGACAAGCCAGCTCAGCAACAGAGACCCCCCCTCCCTTTGATAATAACTAGCTCCTCAGGCTGTTTCTTGATCATGACTCAGATATTTGCTGAAGTTGCTTGTATTTTCTGTGAGTCAGATTTAAAAAGACTCTGTGTTAATATTTGTGATTCATTGCAGTACAGTCCTGCTGACTGACTGCTGTCTGTCTTCCAGTTTCATGTAGTATGTGCGGTGAAAGGCCCCGTCTCTGAGTCACCTGTAGCACATGCCGGCTGAGTCTTTATAGGGGCATGTTACTCTCTCAGAGCGCAGTCTTCTGTGTCTAGACTTATCGCTACAACCGGAACAACACTTTGTGTCCCCTCCGTCTGGATCTTTACCACCGCTTTGCTCATCCCTCAACCAGCCTGACAGACCAGCTGTGAGGTCAGAGCCCTAATTACAAGAAGTTAACCTCATTTAGTCAACAGACTCGGGCTGTTCGGACAAGTCCCACAGAGATTTAAAAAATAAATAATCATCTGTTTAATCTCTATCTCTCGTAGGGATCCTCACCACTGTAAAGAATAGTCAGGTTGTGATGGATTTTGAACACAAGGCAAAATCAGAGCGTCATTGCTGAACAGAATTGTAATCTCCCAGCCTTGGTCCCTCTGTCACGCAAACAACTACAAGACACACTCCCTCAGTCACTATGCCACACTCCTTTTAATCTGACAAGACCATGAAGCCAGTGATCTATCCATCAGGAGATTAGTGGCCTGTTTACTGGGACGTGTGCTTCTCTTCTTCTGTCTGTCCCTATGGACGCTTCTCAGCATCTGGGAATGAGGCCCAGCACTTTGGGACTGGACCTGCTGTCTAATGTACATTCACAACTATTTTCACTCACATTCTGTCAGACAAATGATGGTGTTAGTAGGGCAGGAATGAGTTTTTTTTAAATGTGTTAATAAGTTTTCATTCATCTGCTTTAGACACTGACTGTACTCTACTCCCATGCCCCAAAGAATGAGTGCCTATAACTGAGAGGGATGTATAGTTGGGATCATTTCTTTTTTGGCAGATAAAAGATCACAGTGGCGATATTTTCTTTCATCTTATTTGACTTTTTTTATTCTAGCTGAAGATTTCCTATCATGTAACCATAGAGCTGTTTCATCCTGGGTTTGAATCTGAAGATTACCCTGTCCATTTCCTTTGAAGGTCTTTGCTATGCTTATTATCAGATGGCTAGGCTCAATGTCAAACCCTCTATAATGATTTGTATTGCTTGAGGACCTTGTTCTTGCAGGGTTTCCCACACATAGACTATACTTGGGCGGGCCGCCCAGGTATATTAACGGCCGCCCAAGTATATTTCAAGACCCATTTAGGTATTTAAAAAAAATAGATATATATATTTTTGTATTTGTCCTTGACCACGACGCCATCTGCGATCGATTAACTCGTGGACTATGATCCCTCGCTCTACGCCTCCTGTACCCAGTTCCGGACTGGCCATCGGGAGGACCGGGGGGTTTCCCGGTGGCCTGGCCTGTTAAGTGGCCTGCCTCACACAGGGTAATGGGCTGTCTAAATGATTTGGCCTGCCGACATGGCCACTGTCATAAAGATCATAAATCAAAGCCCTTGATTGGTCTCTGTGTGTCATTCAAGCTCGGGATAACCTCAGCTCAGGTGAGGTAAAGGACTCTTGAGTGTTTAGATAGTTAACTTATGGCACATTTCCACTGCAGCGGGGTAGCCCCCTTTAAGCGTCCCTAAGCGTCCTCGCTCAGGCCTCGGGCTGCCTCGCTGGCCGCCCGAGGCAATGGCGCATTTCCATTACAGTTTAGGACCTGGGGTAGCAATGCAGTGTAGGCGGGGCGATCGGCTTTTTTGTTGTGCTTTTTGGCGTTCGGACATCTGTGCAGAGACATCCTGGAACACTTTCACATTTCGAGTTGTTCCGTCGAGCTCCCGCTGGATTTGATCATCCCCAATGAGATGTAGGAACGTCGTCACCTCCTCGGTCGACCACGGTGTGCTATTCGTTGACGTTGCTATTTTTTGTAGCTCCTCCGTTTACAAAAATGCTGTGTATAAAATGACTGCAAGCTTGCTTCTAGATATATATGCGACACTAGGGATGATCTCACGCGCGATCTTGTGACGTTTCTCTCTGACCAATCAGCAGTCGAGAGTGTTGACGTCACTAGTTCAGCCCTGGCCCCGGCCTGATAGAACCACGATTTTATGGGGCCGGAAAAGAGGGAAAAAGTACCCGCTAGCCGGTGCTACGCTATATGGAAAGGCCACCAAAAACTGGCCTGGTCTCTTGAGGACGATTTAAGGACACTTAAACGGGGCTACCCGCTGCAGTGGAAATGCGCCATTAATCTAAGTTCTCAGTGGGTCTCAAACGGTTTGGTCGCCATTTATGTAAACACATATTTCCATTTGAGAGGGTAGTGATTAGTAAAATATGCATGAATAAATAAATAAAAAGTTAACTTGGTGAAAAAAGGTAAGATACACTTTTAAAACTTGTTGAGAGCTAAAACTAGTCTTTGCTGCTGCCTCAAAGAGGAGAGGAGAGGAGAGGAGAGGAGAGGAGAGGAGAGGAGAGGAGAGGAGGGGAGGGAGACAGGAGAGAGACAGGAGAGGCTGACTCAGGAGCACAGACACACTCACAACTATAAATGATCCAAAAACAAATAAATAAAGTTTCAGTGTTTTTTTCATATTGGAAATGGTATGTTATTGGTTATGGCCATGATTTTATGATTATTGAAATGTATACAGTTCTTTTTCATATAGGTGTTTGTATAGATCTAGTCTCTTTATTTCCCCCTCAAAATGCACCAGATTGATGCATTTAAGTTTAAAAAAAATCTTACCTGGGGAGGCATTCCCCCGGACCCCCCTAGAGGATTTGAGGTCCACCCACACTTAAAATCACATTGATAGGTTCCTAAATACATTTACCATTTTTTTTTTTTGTCCATATGTTTATCTGTGGGTAGTAGATTTAAACTATAGGGCTATCACTATCGGCCCTGCCTGTACCTGTTCGCTCTGCCATCACGTGAAGGGTCTGCTGACAAGCGACCAACAGAAAGGTTAAGGTTATTTGTTGGAGCTATATATATATATATATATATATATACCACCACCCTCACAAGTATATTTCAGCTCTGTGGGAAACGCTGTCTTGACTGGTTTTTGTTTCTGCTTCAAAAAGGAGAACATGTGAAATATAACTGATACACTGTTTTACTATAACAGGAATCACGCCAATCCTTCATGCTGCTTGTGTTTGCTCGATTTCGGTCTAACAGAAGGATTCTCTGCTGCGTCATATTGACATGTTTAGAGATTTGTTGTCAGAAAACAAAATGTTTAGAGGAAACACTGACTTGGGGTGCTTTGCATCATGAATAATGCCATATGCAAATGACACCTGCACTTTTTTCCTGATTTCTAAATTGAAGTTTATAATATCAGACCAACTCCACTGACTTGGGAACATTTGACCCATCTCTCAGTTGACTTATTGTACTTTATAAAGCAAAATGTCTTCTTTATCATACCAATAATAATACAAAAATAAATAATATGTTCTAGTTAGCATTAACTTGGCCCTGGTTTTGGATGCAGTGTGAAGGTGGTGGTGCTGTAGGCCCGTCACACTGCACTGATTGCTAGAGGCTAATGTGATCACAGCCACAGCCAGGCAGGGCTGACTGAGAGTGGAGCCTTAATCTCTCCCAGTGTCTCTCTGCCAAATTGGCCCGATTTGTCAGGCAGAGGATCATCACCCACTTCTCAGATGACTTTCAAAGGGCCTCTTTTGCTTTTTGATGTGCAGCTTTAGATATTTGACCGAGAAAACGGCAACTTGCATTACAATTCACTAATGTTGCGGTTTAAAGCTGCATGCAAAGAGGCGACTGTACATATCTTTCTTATTGTATACATACATTTGCTTAAACATTTTTTTTCACGTCTCAAAATATGCCCCTGTTGTATGAAGATGGACAGTTATTTTACTAGATGCCCTAAAACGCTGATGTAAACCAGTAAAAATAGAGATGTGCATGCTTAACTTAAGAAGTGAGATTTTAGTTACGATTGTGCTTTTTCCCATTGCAAGAAGAGGGCATTGATCACAACCAATCCATTGAAAAGATGTCTGGTTTTCCTGTACTAAGGATCTTTTTTCAGCAACTTCATTTTAACTTAAGACCCAAGAGCTTAGTTCTTCTTAATTCTAGTCTTGTATGTGTGGGTGAAGAGTGGTATGAGTCAGGAAACAGATGTGTTTGTGATTATCTTCTCTCCAAACCCTTGCTGTATGAACTAACAGTTTTTTCTTTGTCTTTTCAGGATACTTTATTCGGAGTAAGACAAATTCCAAGTGTGGACAGAGTATGCAGGCCTGAATGCTGAAGAGGTGGGCTTGCCCCCTCACTTATTTTCTGCTTCATGACGTCAGGGAGCAGCATCCCATCCCAGAGGCGGACATGTCTCCCTGCTGAGTGCCTTAAGCCTTTTGCACTGGTGTAATGACCAGCCTGAAGGGCCCACCCATGGAGCGCACCGTTGGGGGTTCTGTCCCCGCCAGTGATGAGTTTTACACGCGCCACCTCCGTTTGGTCAATGGAGGGACTGTGGCAACCCGCACAGACAATGTTCATGCCCCTGTGGGCACAGGTGTTCCCAAAATGGGTGTACGGGCTCGGGTGGCTGACTGGCCCCCGAGGAGAGACCTTGCAGGGATTATGTGGCAGTCAGCTACAGAGCCCGATAACTCTGGTGTGCCCTCTGTTGGAAAAAGTCACATTAAGTTAGGTGCTGTAATGAGCCCTCAGGACTCGTCAATGCTGCGGAACATTCACAATACGTTGAGGAATCGAACACAGGTCCAGTCCAACAACTACAGCCTGGACACCCATTACCTAGTGCCCGGAGACTACAGGGGTCCTGCACATAGAAAACAGAGACGCATCCGTCAGCGCAGCAACAGTGACATGACTATCAGCGAGATGGAAGCTAGCGGTGACAGTGGAGACGAATGGGGTCCAGCATCGGGAGCCAAATGGTCTCCTCTTCATCGTGAATATGGTAGCACCTCCTCAATAGATCAGCACGGAGCATCTGGAGAGAGCTTCTTTGAAATGCTTCGGGGCTATCAAGGGGAAAAAGTTGACCAGCGTAGCCCCGCTCCAGAGAAACTGGAGGACATCCTGAATGTGGGGGCCATGCAGGCCAGCGTTGATATTCAGGAGGATGTCATAGACGGCAATCCTCCAAAAGCCAGAGATAAGCCCCCAAAGAGACGGACTAAATCTGAGACAGGGGGCGAGTCTATATTCCGTAAACTTCGAAATGTCCGGGGTGAGTCCGACTCCCCCAGAGCGGGGTCTGATGCAGAGGACAGTCGGATAGAGGACATGGGCCCCCCCTGGGTTTGTCAGAGAGGCTTTGCCCACTATGATGTTCAGAGCATGCTGTTTGACCTCAACGAAGTTACTCAGTTGCGGCAGATTGCAGGCAAGCGGAAAAACACCACCACGGGGGCATCTGCTGCCGCTGTAGCCTCGGCTACCTCCACCCTGTCGTCCACACACAGCCTGCCTTACAGCTCCCCGAGCGGCAGCCAGGAGGAGCTCTGTTCCAGAGACAGTCCCGGTCTGGACGCGGGGGACGAACAGAGCAACGAAATGCTGTTAAGTTGCCCCTGCTTCCGCAACGAGATAGGTGGTGATGGTATTGTGAGGCGCAGATTGTTAGCAGGGTATCATGGTGCAGGAGCAGGTAACTGTGGATCGGGAACCCTGATCGAGGAAGTAAACGTGTACGAAACATCTGTGAGCACGCACTGCACAAATGCTGGAGTTGCAGTGCTAGAGGGGCCAAAGGAAGGCCCCAGCACGCTCAGCGAAAAGGGCAAACAATACATTGTGGAGCATGTGGACCTGGGAGCTTACTACTACAGGAAGTTCTTCTACCTTAGGGGTACGTTTAATTCAACCGCTTTCATTTTGTATTCATAAGTGTGTTGTTCAAAGCAGTAAAGTTTGATATTACCCAACAGATGTTTTTCAATTTTGCCCTTTTCCCCTGCTACCTCCTCCTCCTCAGAGCACTGGAACTATTTTGGGATGGACGAGGCGCTGGGTCCAGTGGCGGTGAGCTTGCGCAGGGAGAAGCTGGAAGAGGACAAGGAGCACGGCCAGCAGCATAGCTACCGCCTCATCTTCAGAACCAGCGAGGTTAGCCATAGTGTCCCATCCTTCCTACACCCTAACCTCAACCTCAGCACCGCATCACATCAATCCTTCCTGCTGAGGAGGGAAACTGCCCAACAGATTTAATGAGGCAGACAATTATTTTTGGTTTTGCACTCACAGATTTGGAAAAGTTAGGGAGACTGTTTTGGTTGACTGTGAGAAAAGACATTCATTTAATTTGTTGCTTGCTTGGATTTTATATCCAGTTCATACACCTTCTATATCTATTAAAGGAGTGCCTAGTTCAAATCCTATTATGCCTGCTTCATAGTAGGAGGTCCAGCCTTAGGTAAAACCAGTCTCAGTCTTTGTTTCTTATTATGCAACCAACCCTGGAGCTATTCAGCTGTCTTCCAATATCTGCAATGTGTGAAGAAATGTGAGGATGTGCGCTCATCTTCCAGCCTCCCAGGCCTGTCAGTACCCCACAACCTCAAACCGCTGCGTGGATCAGTAAAAATAGCCTGTCATATTGAGTTGCTCCAAGTCTTTTGTGTTTGGTTATGAGATGTTTGGCTTTTTTCAATTTTAGGTTATGGTATTTATTATATGGACGTACCTTCACAGGGTTAGGCTTGAGGTTTAGGGCACTTGCCTGAGAATGTTTGTTGTGGATTTAAGTAAAAACAGGTGCATGTGATTAAGCCCCCACACATTAGACTGAAGTACCACAGGACCCCCGCCCACTACCCTACCTTCCAGACATGGGGAACACAGGTCCATTGTAAACAAAGCACAGCACAGCCTCAAGCTCGTAGGAGAGAGACTCGAAGCCCCTCTCCAGCCGCTTATGATAGTGAAGTGATTGAGTACACTCCCAGAACCCAGCACAATGCAGACTTTGTGTAAACAGAATGCTTGTACGAGCCCTCCCACTTCTTCTTCCTCAGTTCCACTTTCTATTTACACAAGGCTTTGAGTCATAATTCTCTTGTTGTGCCATGTCACCTTCTTTAAGGGTAAAGGGAGCGGGTTACTTAAAACATATGCAGGGACCTGTTTTTTTCCTGCTGTTTGTGCAGGCATGTTCTAAAAGATTCCAACGTTGCTTTTTTCCTCTGCTCACACTCCTCTATGTTATATCTTCCTCCCTATCTCCCTCCATTCAGCTGACCACTCTTAGAGGTTCTATCCTTGAGGATGCAGTGCCTTCCACCTCTAAGCACGGGACCACCCGGGGGCTGCCCGTCAAGGAGGTGCTGGAGTACCTTCTCCCTGAGCTCGATCTGTCGTGCCTCAGACTGGCCCTCAACACACCCAAAGTCACTGAGCAGCTGATGAAACTGGATGAACAAATGGTGAGCTAATTAACGAGAGTTATTGGAACACACTTGTTTCAACATTGTACTGTGTCCTCACGTGAAATATTGTGTCCCTCAGCTGAGTTTTCAGGTGAAGGTGGGGGTGATGTACTGCCGAGCGGGCCAGAGCACCGAGGAGGAGATGTACAACAACGAGATGGCTGGCCCCGCCCTGGAAGAGTTCCTCCAACTGCTGGGGGACAAGGTCCGCCTCAAGGGCTTCACAAAGTACCGAGCCCAGCTGGATACAAAAAGTATGTTTTCTTACTTTAGTGACCCAGGTTGTGATGCATTTCTACAGCAACACATTATTGTAATTGAGTGGATGTCTGGTTATATAGAAGACTGTATGTACTTGTTCTTGGCTTCAACCTTTTATCCTTAGAAGTCCTGCTATAAGTTAGTTTTACTTTAGCTTTATATTGCTTTATATAACTTTATAGTGCTTGAACTTTGGTCCTTAATCTTGCTTTTGGTCAAATGTTTCCTTGCACTGGGTCTGATTTTTTGCCTATATTACTTTTCTTTTCCTCTCTCTTTTTAACTATACTTTTCTCTCTGGTGTATCTTCAACAATAGTCCCTCAGTCGTACTAATGAGTTCATGATGATAACTGCATCAGTCTTCAGAGAACCTGGCTAACAATCAGCATAGTCTGGTGAACAGATTAAGAAGTTTATGATTGCCAGTTTATGGTCTTGTTGGCCAGATAAATGAATTGGAGCAACAGTGTGTAGGATTTGGTGTCATCTAGTGTTGTGGTTGCAGATTGAAACTAACAGAGTATCCTTCTGCTGAACTCATAGCCCATCCTTACCATAACACCACTTTAGGTGCAACAACATTTTGGTTGGCTGATGTCGCCACAGTTTTACAAGCAATTGCATTGATTTAAAAGTGAAACGCTCTATTTAAAACCAGTTTTGTTTTTTTGGTTCTACATTTCTGTCGAAACATGTATGTGTAAACCTCATTCAAAGCTAACAAAACTTTCTTCATTACATGTGATTAAGTACTAATAAAAAAATAGTTATGAATATTATTCTCCAATTCTGATAATAGATCCCCCATTAAATTCTACCCACCGGCCATTAACATGTTATTAATTTTGACATATATAGACAGTGTCCTTTGTTCTGGATAGTGTAATATCACAAAAGAAAGGCAACTTACACTTGTGTTAAACAGTAGAGTGAGCTTCAGGTTTGACAGTCATCTTATCTCGGCTGACACCGATATGCACTTCACCATTGTCTAGTTGTTTGGGCTACAGTGAAATGGCATCCTGTCTGGCACCAGAAACCACAGAGAGAGAAACACACAGGATACACATGCGAGACAGATGGATGGCATCAGTTGTTAAATGGAGCTCAACACTGTATTGCTATGTTTCCCTGCAGCGGATTCAACGGGTACTCACTCCCTGTACACGACTTACAAAGACTATGAGATCATGTTCCATGTGACAACGCTGCTGCCTTACACCCCCAACAACAAACAACAGGTAAAGATGGAGAGCCCATTCCTCTGGTACACCATTAGTTATGGTATACCCAGAGGGAGGGTGTATATGTATATATTAAGAGGAACACCTGTTATTACTTAAGACTGGTATCAGATTTCTTATTTTATTGTTAAAAAGAACATTTCATTGTTTATTGCCATTAAATGGAATGCACAGAATAGTTGGTATGCTTTCAGATTCAAGTCCCTAATTAAGAAATATGTTGCTTTCAATAGTTGCTGAGGAAGCGCCACATAGGAAACGACATAGTGACCATTGTGTTCCAGGAGCCCGGCGCTCACCCCTTCACCCCGAAGGCCATTCGCTCTCACTTTCAACATGTCTTCATCATCGTACGGGTGCACGATCCCTGCTCTGACAACACATGCTACAGGTGGGTCTGTTTATTAGACAAGCAGGAATTCCTCTACTGGGTAATAGGAAAACTGTGTACAGTAAATGTGTGGGAACCACAAGGAAAACATGCTCAAGCCTTTTTTTCTTTTGCAATTGTGTATATGCTATGTGGTTTGTCAAAGAAAGGAAGGAAGGAAGGAAGACAAAGGCAGGGCTGGTGTATGGGGCATTTGGGTTGAACAAAACCTCTTCCTGTATCAATTCAGGTTTTTAGTAAATCGGACAACATACCAAAGATATGAAAACGTTTCATCTCACTATCTCAAATAATTGAGTCTAAAGAGGCCTTTTTAGGCTTTTTGGGTTTTCCCTTCCCTAGTAGAGAGTTATATAGGTTTGTGTGCATGCAAATGGTCTGCAAAGGCTAAAATCCAACATTTCTCGTCAGAGGGAGTTTCGCCTGAAATGCCATCATTTGTTTACTTCTGTTGCTCTATGTGCTTATAGTGGCTAGTGCTCCAACACATTGTAGGTGATAGGCTAAGGGATGGGACATCTCAAAGCGATTGGCCAATCACAACATAGCCGGACAATCAGAGCAGACTGGGCTCTGGTTTCAGACCAGGGTGATAACAGGTGCTTCAGCACAGGCAGTTTGAGAACAATAAAGCGCTTTGTGAACATTAAAGCATGTAAACATGTCGCCTTAGAGGCACAAAATACAAATATGAACCTGAAAATTAGTGTAATATGTCCACCTTAAGGTTAACCCACCGGCTAGGAATATATATGACTATATCTAGAGACTAAGGATACTCATTAGAATTTGAACTAGGCCAGACTGACCAAAGCCAATAGCAATGTTGAATACAAATCTGGTTGTGTCTTCCCATCTCAGTGCGGCACTGGCCCCTTTTTATGGAAAAGCTCCACAACGGTCAGTGCTACCAGCGGTGTTGTTTTTATGCAGGTAGCTACAGTAGCATTAAGACAAAAGCATTGACTGGAAGGCATGGGTCAAACATAAAAGCCTGTTGCGTGGCTTTCCTGTCTATCCGGATTGTGCGTGTTCTAGCTTCTGTATGTCTGCGTAAGTATGAATTAGTTTGATTATGATCAAATGGAATAGATTGGCCCTGCAGTAGCTGTCCAACTGATGGGTGTCCTCCTCCTCCTCCTCCTCCTCCTCCTCCTCCTCCTCCTCCTCCTCTTCTCCTCGGCTGGCTGACTCTTAGCCTTGTGATGATCAGACTGGATCTCTGTTGCAATCACACTCATGCACCCTTACCTCACCACACAGACACTTTCTGTTCTCTGCATACACAGATATTACACGCACATAGTTGCTGTCTCTTAGTCCCGTATCTCCTTCTTACCTCTTTCCCATGCTCACTTGCACAGTTACACACACATGCACGCACTTCTTCCCATGCACACTAATTCACTGAAAGGCTCACTCTTCACACACTCATACAATACAAGACCCCCCCCCCC